CAAATAATTCCACCAGAATAATTCATATACGTTGTTATGATCACATATTCTTCTGTTCTAATCATACTGGTAGTTGTGATATCCCGAGAGTTCCTGATAGACTGCTCATTATCGTCTATGATAAACAATCCGATAGTGCAATCATCAGTGAAATCATTTTGGATAACCGTTGAACCATTATCCGTTACATGGACTAAGGGATGTTTAGCAGCAGCCGGATGTGATGATTCCAGGCTAACCTTATCTGAATGGAATTTAGTTAGCGACGAAAGAATTTCATCCAGCTGGTCTATACAAGAATTTTTCGTAAGTCTTTTTATCCAATTTTCTAATTAAATTAAATGTTAATTGTTGAAATTATACCTTTAAATTTAAAATGAACTATCACAATTTTTAAACTAATTTTTATTTTGAAAAATCTTCGAATTAAATTCGTTGCATTTTTGAAATAGAACGAAAAAAAAATTTGTTTTTTATTTAGGATTCTTCACATATGTTTGTAAGTTATTGGAATAAAGGAAGGCCTGCTGATATAACGTTCAATTATGAAGTAATAGGCGCTGATCCAATTTATGGATTCTCAAGAACGTGTGATTCCACGCGAGCAGTTCGTGTTTTTGATGATAAGGTTTTCGTATTTTAATAATCTTCATTATTCTATGCTTATTAATGCAAAAATTTGCTTATTGCTTCACTCATTCTTCTATTTCACATTATTTCGTATAAATTTTCTTTTTTTTATTCTAGCATAAATTAGAATCTAAATCAGCAGGACAAACAATCACAACAACAACAAAAACAACAACAACAACAACAACAATTTTCTCGCAACAATCTGATAAAGTAACTTTAAATTTAACCGGTAGATGTTTTAATGCGGCGATAACCATACAAAAATATGAATCAAATTGTCCATGGTGCTCATGCGGTGAAAGATACGCAATTATTGGTCAGGTAATTATCGTGATTTGATCATCCTTATTTATTCGTAAATTCATATTAATTTATTTCGTTACTTGTCACTTTCATATTTTAACCTCGCAACATATGTAGTTATTGTAATTTCAGACTTATTTAGGCGTATTTAATTTCAAACTAAATTCGGAAATTTTAGTTATCGGAATTTGAATCGCACGAACCATCATTGAATAGTTCATCTGAAACATTGGTTGACATAAGCTTAATGACACTGTCAGCGATTGCAATCGCAACATCTGCCGCATTTTCATGCGTGCTAATTGCATATCTTCGAGAACGACGATCTAATTTTGCAAGAAATGCTGGGAAGTGTGAGATGAAATGTTGCAACAATTATTCAACAGTATGCCGAGGATATCAAACAACTTCACATAAGAAACGATTAACCAATATTGAAATTACAAGGTAAATTGGAAATGATTTTATCATATTAATAATTTATCATTGCTTATATTTTTATGTCAAAAAACTGACAAAACGGGAATCGATGCATTATAGCTAAAAAATTCAAAGCCTTTTTAAGCCATAATTCTTTCAACGTTCTTTGCTTTGTAAAATTTAATTACTTCCGACATCAAGCTATACAAATAAGAAAAGTTTTTTTTATTTTATTTAGTTTTCTTTTTTCAAAAGAAAAAGAATTTTTTTTTGCTTTTTTTTGAATGCTTACAAACATTTTAATAATTGCTAACTTTTTGGCACAAATGTTTTACCCCCGTAAAATGTCTACAAATTATTACCTTCGATATCTCACCTTTTTGTTTGCTTGTTTAAATTCGATTAAAATTTGATAAATTGCAAATAATCAAATGTTTATTTTGCAATGCAGTTTTTGACAGTATTTCATACTGAAAGCAAATTATTAATTTATTTAAAAATTAACCACAATGTGAAGTGTGTTTTAAAGAAGGAAAAAAAAGCAGCTTTTCAAACAAAAAAAA